TTCTGTCGTCAGGCTCCAGGGCACGTGCAGAGCTGTGCTGAGAGCATTATACAAAGGTTCCGTGACCAGAGGTGCGTCGACGTGGTGCCATGGCGCGGGGACAGCCAGCGTGACAGGATGTAGGGGAAGCTGAGACAGTGCCGCACGTGTGGTTTCCAGGAAGACGCCGGCGACGCCGCAGAGGCTTCTAGAAGCCATCGGCACGGCAGCTGTGGTCGCAGATCACACCTGACTGTGACTGGCTGCAACACAAGCTTGGGAACTTCCGGCAGGAAAACTGACGCGTTCTGCGATTAGCCGAGTGGCCGTGACACAGAAGACCCAGATTTGGGATATCTGAGTCGTATTTGGGCAGACTTTTGTGTTAGGTCACAGGCCGTCGGCCTGACATAAACTGTTCTCCGATGTCGTCTCTGTCCGGCTGCAACGATGACGTGGGAGCGTCCAGTGCCCACAGCTGCTCCAGTGTGGGGAGCTGAATGCAGGACGCAACCCACTTGCTGACCAACTGTTTCCTCTCTGCGTCGCCCAGACCCTCGCCTCAGGCCTTGCGGAAATGCTGACCCCTGACCTCTGCGGTGCCGCGAGGCTCTGCCCGTCCCTTCACCGGCCTGGCCGGGCGCTGGGGCGCAGGCTGGATCTTCATCGGTGACCCCCCAAAACAGAGATAGTCCGGGCTGCGATGTCGCTACGAGTCAGTGGGAAGCTTTACGTGCTCACTGTACGACACAGGCGCCGTGAGCCTGAAAGGCAGCATGAAACGGAGCAGCAGCAGGCCCAGGCCCCAGGACACATCGCTTCTGTCATGCAGACGGTTCCTGTCGCTCAAACTAGAGCCGCTTTGCTCACGACGCTACAACACTGAAGTTCCCCGTCGCCCCACGGCCGACCCAGCTAGGGCCCCTCTCCGCAGGCACAGGCCGGGTCCCCTGCGCCCAGCCCAGTCGGACAGTGGACAGCCCCAGGGCCGCGGGTGGACGGGAACATCTCTGATGTCTGCAAATATGTCCGGCTGTGCTCGTGCATTCCCAGCGGGCTTCTCCCCGTGGGGCCACGTGTCTGTGTGGTGGGAGTCACCCCCAGGCTGGGCCTGGGTGAGAGGGGAGCTCTGTGGGCTCTGGGGGCCGGTGGGGGCAGCACCGTCCCCTCCGTCAGCCCCTGGCCCCCGGTGTCCCCATGCCAAGGGACGACGCGAGCCCCCCTCCCTCCCACGGAGCCTCCAGACACTCGCAGGGTCACGCAGAGACACCCAGAAGCCAGGCCCCTCATGCTGTGCAAACTGCAAACATCAAGCTTTCATCAGATTGTTTACGGTGGGAAAACAATTCCCTGCCAGTCCCCTGCCTCGGCGCTTTACTCACGGGCATACACAGAGGGACAGCAGTCAGGGAGCACCAGAGCGAGCCTGGCCCGATGCCCTGCCCTGGACAGTGCGTGTGGCGGCGGACGGGCCCACGCAGTCACTCACATCAGGACTCAGGGATCCCCCGCTGCACTCTGGAGCACACCGGCTGGCCTCTCACTTGAGGCTGAGGAGTCAGAGTCCTGCCCGGGATGGGACCTGACCGGAGCCTCAAGGGGTGGCTCTGAGGGCCGCGTCCCGGCTGGCCAGGGCGGGCCCAGACCTGGGGCCCCAGCCAGGCTGTGGGAGCGCCCGAGGCCCTGTCTGTGCAGGCTGAGCCCCTGTGGGAGTGGAGGGTCCTGTCAGGCGCCCGTGAGCAGGGAGAGCAGGGGTTTTTGTCTCACTTCCCCCCGGGGCCGCAGCACTGTGAAGATGCGGAGAGTCCGTCCCATGTGGCACAGTAGTAGTCAGCCTCGTCCTCGGGCTGCGGCCCCGAGATGACCAGGACCCCTGCGTTGGCCGACGTGTCGCTGGCCCCAGAGAAGCGGCTGGGGACCCCGGCGCCCTGGTGCTTTTCCGAGTCTGACTTGTAGGACAGTAGGTACCGGGGAGGGCGCCCTGGCAGCTGCTGTTGCCAGAATATGCCATAGCTGCCAACGCTGAGCCCACTTCTCAGGGCGCAGGTGAGTCTGGCCGTTGCCCCAGGAGCCGCGGCGAGCGAGGGCGGCTGGGTCAGCACCGGCTGCGAGAGGGAACCTGCACACAGACACAGCAAGTGAGGGTCAGTCCTAGGCGGTTGTTCGGTCAGCAGGATGGGTCAGACCTCTGAGATGTGCCCACCTGTGCAGAGGGACAGCAGCGCCAGGAGGAGAGGCGTCCGGGCCATGGCGCGCGCAGCCCCTTGCTTCCCTGCAGGCTGGAACGGGCTGCCCAGGCCTCTCTTATCCCCTCCCGCTGGCACAGAGGGAGGCGCTGCCCATGCAAATACGCCCAGCACTGCCCCCTGCACCGCAGCACCTGGGCTGTGGGCAGGCGAGGCCTGACTCACGGGTGCCCCCAGGTGGCCTGGGAGCAAGCGCCCGCCCGGCCCACCGCGGACCCTGGCACAGGGGCGCCTGGATCCGGGATCAGGGCTGCTGAGTGCCCGCTGGGGCCAAGGTCCAGCCCTGGCTCTGGCCCTGCAGGGCACCCGGCTGGGGGCCCTGGGCATCCCGCAGCGACGTCTCCGGCGCCCCCTGCTGGCCTGCAGAGAACCTGCCTTCCCTGAACCCAGCGTCCAGGGTCTTTAGCCAGAGTCCTGGGCACCCCACTCCGGGGTGAATGGCACCCGAAGGCCGGTGTGGACAGGTCCTCACCGCTCAGTCCTCACGGTGGACGGTGTCTGCGGTGATCTCACACTACACAGACATTCAGAAGCCGTGTCCGGGAAGCTGGTCTGGCACTGAAAACTGTGTTTCGATTCAGATCGTTTCCAATAGAAAACTATCTCTCTTCAGATTTCCTGCCTTGATGTTTATGTCCTGGGAGTGGGAGTAAGGAAAGAAACAGGATTCAGGGAGAAGCAGGAAAGGGAAAACCTGGGGTCTCCGCTCCCAGACCAGAGGATCGTGGCAGCTGGTGGGGCCGCGTGATATATTCAAACCAGAACTTAATCGTCCAGGGACCCTGTGGGGGAGACACGGAGGATACATCTCTAGGTTGGTAGTGTTTTTTTTTTTTTCTTTTTGATTGTAAAATTGTGTTCCATTCTCTTCAGCTTTTGCATTTTTTTTCTTTTTCACAAGAACAGGGGTACAGGCTACAGGTGGGGGTGAGAGGACTCCAGAGACAGACCAGCAGATCTGCTGAAACACTGCTGAGGGAGCAGCGGGGAGCCAGGAGGGGCCCACTGCGCCCTGAGGCCCCCTGGCCGGGGCTGGACCTCGCGCTGTGGCGCTGATTGCCTGACAGCGCCGTCTTTCAGCCCTGTGCCACCAGGAGGCCCAACCTTTGCACTTTGTCAGTCAAGAAGTCAGTTTTCTCTGGTCTTTGCAGTTGTTTGATGTTTTCATTTATTTTTAAAGAGTTATTCCTGTATGCATACAGAACTGGGGTGCAGGCCAGAAGTACAAAGGCGTTGAGGGGGTTCACCAGAGACAGAGCGGGGAGCAGACCAGGCGGATCTCCTGAAACCCACTGCTGAGGGGGCAGCGTGAGCCAGGAGGGGCTGCTGCGCCCTGGGGTCCCTCCCTGGCTGGAACTGGACTCATGCTGCAGGGGCTGCGGGCAGCCCCCAGTGCTGGGCTTTAAGCCCTGCGCCCCAGGAGGGCCCTGACCTGAACCCATCTTGAGTGGCTCAGCCTGGCTGCTGCCAGGGCTTATCCCCCCAGGTGCCTCTCCGGTCCGCCCGCAACTCCCGCTGTCTGGCTTCTGCCCGCTGAGCTCCCATGTGATTGTCCGTCTACAACTCTGGGTGGCACTGAAAAGTGGACACCTGCCTCAGAGTCAGGTGAGCCCCAGGCTGAGCGGGGTCTGGGCAGTTTGGGCCCCTCGTGGAGTGGCTGGAGGCAGCCAGAGAGCCGGTGCTCACTGGACCCACGTTGCTTCGGCAGGAACCCACCTCACCCACGTGTCCGGGCGGCTTCAGCACAGCCCAAGCCCCAGGGGCGGGGGAGCAGGATAGGGGGCCGTGGGGCACCTGACGCCCCTGCCCAGCTCAGCTGTGGCCCAGGCGAGCGGCTCACTGCTGGAGCCCAGGGGCTGCCCGCAGGCTGTTGCTCACCCTGGCCGCCACCCTTGAGGGCGGGGAGCAATCCCAGCTTGAAATGGTCCCTCAGTATGACAGCCTCGTTGATGCATGGACTGCTGGGGGACCCTGAGGGCATGGGAGGGGCGTGCCCGGGACTGGGCGAGCTGGGCCCGCACAGAGAGCAGCCTCTGGGCCCACCTTCCCCCCCCCCCCCAGCCTCCACAGCAGCTCAGGGCTCCTGCTCCTGCAGACAGAGGGGTTTGCGCCTCCCTTCCCTGCGGCCTGCAGCACAGGCGAGCACTGAGGCTGCCGTCACTGGCCTGGCAGAAGTACTGAGCCTCGTCCCCGGCTGGAGCCCCGCGACAGTCAGGGACTTGGAGCCCGAGCACCGGCCAGGGGCCCCAGAGGGCCGGTGGTCATTACCACGGATCGGGGGCTTGGGGGCTTTTCCTGGGAGCTGCTGGAACCACTGCTTGAGTGACCATCTCCAACACTGAGCCGCTCCCAGCGCAGGGGTGACCCTCTGCCCAGGGCCCCGGAGATGGACTGCGGCTGCGTCTGCACAGACTGGGCCCAGGATCCTGGGAGGGGAGACAGGGAGATGGTGATCTGGGTCTGATACAAGGAGATTTTTCAGGGCCCCCTGCATCTTCTGAGAGCTCCCCCACCCCCAAACTGAGTTCCCTGTGCAAAAAGAGAGGAGAGCAAGGAAGAGAGGAGACCCCACCGTGGTGCTCACAGCCCCCTGAAATCAGCTGTGTCTGGACTGCCCAGGCCACCACCAGCCACAGGAGGGGCTGGGCATGCAGATGATTCATCTGGGGCTCCCCACCCCTCCCTGAGCCCTGCTGCTGGGGATCAGCTCACCCCACACTGAGGAGGTAGAGGTTTGCTTCAGCTGGAGAAAACTGGGGGAGGAAGCACCTGCGGCCCGCACACTCCGGGCCTTTCTCTGGGGATCAGGCCAGCCCAAGAGGACACAGCCGCTGAGTGCCCACCACCTGGGCAGTCGGGGTTCACCCTCAGGGCTGGTCAACCGCAAAAATGAGCCGCACCACAGTGAGAGGGGCCGGGACAGTCCCACAGCGCCCCCCGCTGGCCACAGCGCGCGCCGGCACCCTCCAGGACCGAAGCCCGGAGCCCCCTGTCTGCAGATGGCCGGTCACTGGTCTGCTCACTGTCCCGCGCTGACCCACGGGCTGCGGGAGCCGTGGAGCCGCCCGGGGCCACCGAGGCTTCTCTGCGCTCAGTGATTGCTTAGATTTTTCAAGTAGAGAAAATACTGCCAGCTCATATTCTTCCATGGGTCCTCGAGTTACACTTTGGCCACAGTCAGTATTGCAGAGGCCACATATGTTAAAGCAATGCACCCCACTCCCCTCCTGCACAGTAATGTGCATCTCTACCTCCTATTTTTTTTAAAGATTTATTTATGTATGCACACAGAACTGGGGTACAGGGCAGAAGTTCAGGGGCAGTGAGAAGACTCACCAGAGACAGAGTAGGGAGTAGAGCAGGCTAACTGACGAAGTCCACAGCTGAGGGGAGCAGCGGGGAGACTGGAGAGGTCTGCTGTGCCCTGGGGTCACCTCCAGGGCAGGGATCAAACTCAGGCTGAAACGATTGCAGCCAGTTTGCATGCTGTGTCCTAAGCCATTGCACCACCAGGGAGGGCCTCTACCTTCTATTTTTAAGAAATTTGATATTAGTTTAACTTTTAGATACTTTTACTAATTTACAACATGAAACAACAGCGGATTTATTATCGATGATGTCCAAGTTAAGGTTATTTTTAATGATTTATTTATTTATGCATGCAGACCTGGGGTACAGGCCAGAGGCTTAGGGGCGGTGAGAGGGTTCACCAGAAAGAGTGGGGAGCAGAACAAGAAGAACCTCGAAGTCCACTGCTGAGGGGAGCAGCGGGCGGGTCAGGAGAGGTCTGCTGCCCCCTGTGGGTCACCTCCGCGGCAGGCGGGGATCGAACTCTCGTGGAGTGGCTTTAGCTTCTCAGTGCTGCGCTTTAACCCGCTGCGCCCCCAGGGAGGGCCCCCAAGTTACTTTCGAATCGATTATGCTGTTGGAGTCCGGCACAAGTGGGTGTCCTGTGCGACGGTGGGCACACCCTACTGGGAGTCGGCTGCCCCAGGTCGCCCGGGAACTCTGCCCCCTGCAGCCTGAGCCCCTGCTCCGGATGAACGACCCCCCAGTGTCCTGCGTGCGAGTCGGACCCCGTGGGACTGTGTTCGCGACAGGCATGGAGAGAACTGACTGGGAGAAAGACGGCGAGCGGGGCCCCCTGGGCCGCCAGGGGCTGCACCAGCGGCGGGCGGGAGCCGGGTGAGCCCCAGAGAAGGGCCTGAGGGGTCACACGTGGCGGAGAAACCCTGCAGGGTCCCGGGAGCATTGAGCCCCACTCCTGACTGGGCTCCCGACTGTGCTGAAAGTGGCCCTCGGCCGAACCTCGCGGTCTGGGTCGTCTTCGGGACCCTCTGACCAGCCGTGTGCACTGACCCTGGTGCCCATCCAGCACCCTGAATTTGTGCTCGGCGCGCCCCTGAGGCCGCTGCAGCTCATGTCCCACCCCGCACGGGCTTGCTTCACCCTCGGGAGAGCCCTGGCGTCAGCACCTGCTGACCAGCGAAGGGCCCGCGACTCCTGACCAAGCAGCTGCGCTGTGAGGGGTGCAGGAGGCCCATCTGGGGGTTCTTGCCTCGCTTCCCCACAGGCCCAGAGCACCGTGTCCCGCCCCACTTGCTGCGTTGTGACTGGCAGATGTACTCAGCCTCGTCCTCGGGCTGGAGCCCCGCGATGGTCAGCGAGCCCGAGGTGCCAGACACAGCGCCCGAGAACCGATCAGGGACGCCTGGGCGCCGCTTGCTACTGTCATGTATCAGGAGTTTGGGGACCGTTCCCGGGAGCTGTTGGTACCATTGCAGGGTGTAGCCAGCTCCAAGGTCGGAGCCGCTCCCGGTGCAGGAGATGACCACGCTCTGGCCCAGGGCCCCGGACGCCGAGGACGGCTGCGTCAGCTCCGACTGGGCCCGGGATCCTGGAGCGGGGGACATGGAGATGGTGAGGCCGGCACAGAGCCAGGAGCAGGGGTCGGGCCCCCGGGTCCTCACCTGTGCAGAGGGACAGCAGCGCCAGGAGGAGAGGCGTCCGGGCCATGGCGCGCGCAGCCCCCGAGTCCACACGGCTGGGCCGCCCAGGCCTCCTTTTCTTCCCACCCTCAGCCATGGGGGGTGGGGCGGGGGGCTGGCATGCAAATGGGGCTCAGCCCCTCCCTGGGACCACAGTTCAGCTCACCCCACTCTCGGGGGAAGTTTGCTTCACCCCTTGGGGGAGCCCTGGGAGGAAGCACCTGCCGTCCCCACGCCGGCCCTGCTCCAGGACTGCACCAGGCCGCCGGCCCTCAGCTGCAGAGGCCACAGGGAGCCCCGGCCGCCCCAGGCCAGCGGACAGGGATCCAGCTGGAGGCCCGCGGGCGCCCCGCAGCGCCCCCTGCTGGCGCCGGCGCAGCTGCCCAGAGCCCAGCGGCTGGCTGCCACAGCCCGGGAACCGGGGTGCGCCTGCAGGCCGCGACCCCATTCTCGCAGTGTGACCGCCAGGGCGCGCGGTTATGCCAACGCCTCGCTCTCACAGAGGGTTTGATCTGCGGGCGGGAAAAGTGTCAGGACTAACACCCTAAAGGTTCTGTGCCTAGAGAATAATGTAAGAAAAAGGCATTGTGTCCTTCATCTGTGTGCTAGGTTCGGTAAATGGTTATTTTTCCATGCAGTGTGTGTTCGAATAGGAATCTCCAGCCACTGCTACATAAATCTATTTGCGTTTTAATGTCTCAATTTGTAGCAAAATGAATCGTCCCACATCTCCCTCTACTGGTCACGTTGGGAAAGATGAAAACCAAAGTCAAGGACGCTCTAATGGAGAGTTGCGTGGCTTCCTAGGAGGCCAGATTCAACAGAAACAAAACTGAAAGCCAGGACGATTTCATTTAACAAATAGGGAATGTTATTACAGAGCAATTCGCTCCGCAGTCTACGATGCAGATGATTCCGCAGGACACAGTAATAAACTCAACGATCACACCGGTCCAGGTTCTTGGGTTTGTTCCCAGAACATAAACACCAACATTCCTTTGAAAGCAGCTGTAACAGGGATAAACATGCCTGACCAAGAAGTTGCACAGAAAAGGAATATTAATAGACTGACCGATGCAAATGCTTTCATACAAATGTTGTAAAACATTCAGCAGCAGGTTAATCAATCAGTGCGACATCACAGGATTTACGCCCGGGAAGGAGACAAGGACGCCCCGACTGTCCGGCTGAGGCCGGGCCTCCCCCACCGCGCCCCCACGGACGCTGCCCGATCGCACCCACCTGCGCTCCCTCCGGCCTCTGGGTCAGGCCCGCCCCCTCCGCCTGGGGTCAGGGCGGCCTGGGCACCCTGGAGCTGCAGGACCACCCGCCCCTCGGGGAAAGGGCCGAGCGTCTTCCCACGGCCTTTGTCTTGACCCCGTGTCCGGGATCTGCGCAGGAAGAGAGGCCAAGGTCTGGGGGTACACGCGCGGCGCTCACGGCCTCTGCCGCCCACCGCGGGGCTGGGCTGCGCCGCGCTCTCGGCCGCAAGATGCCTGCCGGGCCTGGCCACCTCTGGGCAGTCACCGTGGGGACGACCCAGCCCTGCAGCCACAGCGGAGGGTTCCTGTCATCTCGGGGCTCCTGGTCAAAGAGGCTCCTGAATCACCATGCTCCAGGGCACCCTGTCAACTGGGGGGCTTGCTGGGGAGGGGCTCATTGAGTGAGTAAAGGGACAATGAGACCCACCTGCTGGCACGAGCGGACAGGCTGATCCTGGGTCACTACAGGGGAGGGAGACGAGTGACCCGGGGAAAGAGAGAGAAGCTGGTGGCCGCCACCGACCAGTCCCGCTGACCTGTAACCCCAATAGTTCCCCGCCAGCCTGCGAAAAGCCACAAGCCAAGTTCTTAGCCACAGCCACAAGGCCAAGGGCCCCCCAAAGCCCACATGGCCAAGAGCCCCCCAAAGCCCACAAGGCCAAGGGCCCCTCAAAGTCCACATGGCCAAGAGCCCCCCAAAGCCCACAAGGCCAAGGGCC